TTCCAAAACAAACAAACATAAAATATCTGTATACAGGTTTAGAAAATTCAAAAGTATGATATGCATTAAATTAGTTTCGGATACTAAACAGTGGATTTTATGTAAGTGTAAATAATCACTGCGAAAGAAATTTGTTTTATGGAAACAATCTACTACAGAATATTTGTTTATTTAGGAGATTAATTTCAATATTATTCATGCAAAGCTACTTGGTACATATAGGCTTTAGTTAAATATTAATCACTGACACTGTAATGAATTTTGGTTTATCACAAGACAGCACCTCCATCAAATAACGTCACTGGAAATAATCACAGTGTAACTGGTAATTCTAAAAGCAGTTTGATTTTGATAAATTGCTAATTGTAGTCTTGGTAGTTGAGTTCTTGTTAACTGGTAAGTTGTACAGCATATCGATCTACTGTCATCTTAAATAACTAGTGAGTAATACAATCGATTAGAACCGGTTTGTGCAGAAAACTCTTACTGGAACGACCAGACGGACTGTGATAACTAATTTTAATTACATATTATATTTAATTGGTCTTGGGCTGCCATCTAGTGAGAGGTGATAGGGTCGTTAACTTGTTTCTTATTCTATTTTGCTGCTTTCTTTTAAAACGAAACTACAATGTACACAAATAATTATAAATAATTACGAAACGCCCCAACCTTGCCGTTACCGAGTTTGATATTTTAATTTGAAGAGGTTCTGTAACAATAATAATTTCGCTTAAATAAGTGAATTAAAATAATCCATCGAAGAGTAAAGTAATGCTAGCTCACGTGGGATTCGATTGAATTTCTAAATGGCAACCAGTGGTGACCTGTTTTCCTTTTAACATGTTAAGAGGGGTAAATTTGTGTTTACTGAACTATCTTGAGTTAATTTATTTATATTGATGTCTACGGTCATTAAACAGTTTTTTGGGGGGATACGAAAAATACTTATTAATCGAAACTGTGATTCTTAGATCCAATAATCATAGTTGATTACACAGTCCTGTGATGGTTTTATTGTCATGAAATTTTTACATGTTCTACAGTATTCCTGTACGTTGAATCCGAAAATGTTATCCATTTTTCTCCATCACGTACAGTTTTTTCACAAAACGTCATAACACAATATATAAAAGAAAGACCACAACACGTAGTTTTGAGACCAA